AGTAAGTATTCAGTTTGATTAATTGTTGAATCTTGTCGTGCTCGGGAGAAAGGAAATCTGATATAAATAGCGGTTGTTTTTTCTTTGTTGAGTTTTATTAATGTTGCGAATTCATGTGATCGAGTGAGTCATAAATATTGAAGCAAATGCTAAATTAAGCAAGAGTGGATGCTCTTAGATGGATTGTTCTGTATCTTGTATAGAAAAAGTGAAAAAATATGGTCAGCTGCGCGGAGGTCAAATCGAGAGCGCACTCGTGTTCTTTTGGCAACGTTCCGTGTTCGATCTTCGGATGGATTGGTGAATTCATTCAGTGGGTGAGATCTTATCCGGTCCAAAAGGCTGTATGATTCTTATAAGCTTTACGGTTCACGGTGCCCTTGCTCTGTGTGCGACAAGATTTAACATCTAACTTGCACTTAATAGGGTGAGTTGTCATCGATTACCTTTTGTGAATAAGAAGAGACCATTATACGTTATACTCTAGCTTGCCGGAGACAGGAACATTTGGTGTTTGTTTGTCTTTGATTCAAAGAAATAATTTTCAGTAGGCATTACGTTCTTGTAAATTTGTTGAGGCAGGGCTTGTGTAGACAAATTGTTGCATTTCATTCTCGAAAGTATAAAGCAGAATTCGCTGAACAGTTATCGGGAAGTGCAATCGAGACCCACCATTCATTCATGAGGCTTGGCGCAAGTTAAGGACCATCGAAATATCTGTAGATCACAATATTGTAGGATATGATATAAAACTCGAAACGTTTCTAAGTGTAAGAGTGACACTTGGATTGGGATTGAAAGGTATTTGCCTTGTGAATTCATCACTTGCAACAACATCCGGTCAAAACACAACTTTGTGGACAGATCATCAGGATTGTGCATGGTAAATGGTTGATGATTGACAATGAACAGCAAAGATAAGTGCACAAATCCACCAAAAGACTTAAGAACTAAAAACAAAAGGTAAACAGTGTCGTAGAATAAGGAAAGTACTATTATTGAAAATGAAAATTCATTTTTTCTCCCACCTACGTACTTCAGTTATTGTACTCACACATTTTTCCTCGTAAGTGTAACTCTTCCCTCGTACATTTGCACCGACGGTCACTGGAAAATATTTAATAAAATAATTTTAGCTAGATGTGCAGTGTTTATACTAGATAGATTCTGAAGCTAAGCAGATCGGGAATGAATGAATACGCTTTCAAAACATTTAGACAGTGCGATGGTTGATCCAGATTGAATAGAAAAATTAGAAATACAGGGAAATGTGTGAGAAAAGTTATGAAGGATCTATGTCAAAGAGCTGACATGGCAAATTTCCGATGAGTACTTGAAATTGGTTAAATATTTTGCTGTCGTCGAATTATTTGATCTCACAAATTTTAAAAGGCAGACTGTCGCAAAATCATGATGCGTTTATTGACAATACATTTAGGGTTACTTACTGATTACAAATGGGATTATCCTCGCAAGCTGCGATGGATGATTTATAAATTGGTTAATATCACCGACAAAACAAGTTACCGTGTCCAATTAGCTTGATAAACTGGATTGCCATCAACAAACGAAAGCGATGTGAGTAAAAATAAATGAAAGGATCCTTATGGGGCCAGTTCTCTGCAATATATATATACATATATATATATATATACATATATACGTCATCCCTTCTCTAACCGTGTCAGCTAAGTTCAATCAAGAGAAGGGATAATTCTACAACAAAATGAATTTTCGCATTTTTCTTTGAGGATTGTCAACGTTTTACCTCAAAAAGAAATTTCTGGGCAGCTATTTACTTCTACACCTCAAACATAATGGAGAATTTTACAAGTGAATTTAGACAATTGCTCCTTAGGAGATTCACTCTTATTGGGGTTGATAATCTATTTACTGTGTTCACTATGGATTCTAAAGTCGGCTTTGTAGCTCAAATCTACATAGCGAAGCTTGCATTGCAGAGTTAAATGACTGGATGTCCAGAACGATGAATAATGAAACAGCGAGCAGATCCAAGCCAAGCGATGGTGTGCAGTTCATGAAGTGCGCATTGCATATCATGTATGTCTGTAGGTCGGGTATTTTCGGTAGGCAGTTTTCCCAAGTCTGTCTTTAGTAGTACCAAACGGTGGGTTACTCATAGTCACACTATCTTTGCGTGAAAGTATTGAAGGATTTGATTCTATAACACGCTGATTATCGTCATGAACAAAGCAAATGAAGAATACACTAAGATGTTAAGGGATACCGTACAGCTGTTTTTCGAACTGGTTAGATCTCATCAGCAGTGTGAATGAATCTGTTGAGTCAAATGAGGATAAAATCCATGACCTCACAGGTGGAATAAAACCAAACGGTCAATTCTATCATCGATCAGGTTATAAAGCCTTTTTAGTTTTGTCTATATACGATATAGCACAATCTATCTTTGCGGGTTTGTTATGGACATCAAGACGCACTCATTTGGACACTTGTACTCCCGGCTTAGGACTCGACTGGAAATGTTTCAAACGTGACTACTACTTGTTACAATCTTGTAGATATTGGTTGTTGGGTCTGGCGCAGGGAAAAAACAACAAGCGGTTTGACCAGCTGTTTGGTACTCAAGTGGGTGCTTGAACGCTTGTATCCCCGTCTCCCGTTTGATGGTTGGATTCACATAGTTGATGATATCCAGCCAGATCGAAACAAATGTATAATATTTCTTAGTTTTTCAGTTCACGTTACTTTTGCTCTGTACTTAACGAACTTCACCATGTATCTGTTCGTTCTCGACTACCTGTAAGGAAAACCATAATAAGATAACTGAATAATCCATATACAGTACCGCTAAGTCATGACTTTTGAAAACATAAGACAGAATGAAGAAAGTCAAACTTACAACACATTTATTTTATCTTGTTTCACATAAATTTCCTACTTGAATCTCACGGTGTTTTCAGTCACAGTTATTTTGGACTTGGAAATGCAGTTGGCTATGGTCTTGCTCTTCTCTACATAGTTCGACCGGTTCAGGAAATTGCGCCTGAGTACCATTGTCCAACTTGCTACCTTATCTCTGTTGTTGAACGCTCGGTGAAGTTAGGACATAGTGATGACATGAATTTACTTCCTCTTTGTTTTGGATATCATGCATGGGAAATAAACTCATCGAGAAACGAATAATTAAGGGTTTTCCAAGGCAGAAATGTATAGAAATGTATTCCCATATTAGGCTCATCAAGGAAGGTTTGGCCTCTGGATTGTTTGCAATATTCAAAAGCTCCTACTAATACAATCTGTTAATTTATTCATAAAGCTTTTAGTTCTCTGATTCATCGATCAACAGAACAGCCTGAAGAGTTAACCACTGATATTTACAATTCAATAGGCCGGTAATAATGTGGCCGTTTGCATGAGTTGCGTCAGCAGTGCTCGGGATAAACAAGGCAAATGTGCACGGATGAATCAGTGAATATTAGCTAACAATCCTTTAGTTGCTCACACCTAGTTATTCCAATTTAGTATTTCGTAAACTGTTGACTAGCAGTTCGAACAACCCATTTTCTCTTCAGCTTTCTGAAACACATTTTCCCTTTTAAATCCAAGCGCGACGCCACACGGGCACAGACGTTTGACTATCCCCTCTGTCACGTCAGGTATGATCCGTGCAAAGGACTAAATTATTTTCCTCCTAGTGCAACTGTTTTTATTCCGGTACATTTGGTGTTTACGGTAGACGTTTGGAGGCCATTTCACAGCGCGCCAGAAATGTTTAAAGGTCGTAAACACACGGTTTGCCTGGTTAAGTTATGAATCTGTTATTCACGTGACTGACATTGGATAACCTAGACGAACAGTTGCCATTTTCAGGATGCTTGTCCATTTCGGGATGATTAAAACCTACCAAAAGTTTCTTTTTGACTCAAGCAATAAAACGTGTTACATTGGTTCGCTTCTGCTTGGTTCGAAGATTTGCCCGAAATGTGACCGAAGTTATAGTTCCTCTAAACATTTGACTAACTTAGCATGACATGCAGTGACAAGCAGATAGTTACGTGTAAACTAGATTTGATAGAACCTTGAACCAGAAGACCGAACAATGTAATCTAAACATCATTCTTTAGCAACTCCAAAATTAAGAGTCAGGAGTTCTAAGTAAACAAAGAATAAGTGAACAGATTTTGGATAGAAGTTTATTTAGAATGAATCTTCGACCAATTTCGCACAGAACTCCGAAGGAAATGCACACAAGAACCTTTTAAGTATTGCTACTCCCGTTTGAGTTTTCCCGTAAGCACTAAATTTCACTGTCGAAAGCATAAAAATCCCGTGTGCCTCAGCAGTTTCTTTTTCATACTTAAAGGTTGTGACATTAATTTTGCTGTCTGTAGAAAACTGAAGAATTCCGGGTCTGTTATATATTGTTAGTTCAGTATATTTTCTAACCTTTAATAAGTTGTTATCTATATGTTTCTATGTATATAAACAGGTAGAAATGATCGTGTGGAAGCAAACGGCTAATTTTGGATCCTGCCCTACAATCTCTCATGGAAGCATGTTTTCGAAGTGACCTTATTTGGTTACAAATCTCATAGATTAGGATTCGTATTCAACTGTCAGTTATGCTTTAATAAGGGTCATTTATAAATGACCCTTATTAAAGCATAACTGACAGTTGAATACGAATCCTAATNTCAGTTATGCTTTAATAAGGGTCATTTATAAATGACTCAATATTCCATTGATTTCCGCTTATCCAGGTGGTACGTAAATGTGTAGTTTGTAAAAATTGTATGATTGACACCTGGCCAAAATAGATTTCTCAATATGTGATTATTTTTAGAGTTCATCTATCCTAATGTTTCTCTACATTCATTGCACTTGCTAATCCCTGTCAATAATCCCAATGCGGTTGTTTATCATGCAATAAATAGGATGAAGCATTTACTATCACCTTTGCGAGTATATAAATTAGGTCACTAAATTAGAGACATGTAACACGAGCACCATCTTCCAGAATGGCTGATATTTTGGCAAGTCAATCTTTCTGGTGGTTTCTGATCGTATGCGCCCTGTTCAGAAGCGGTAAAGCAGATTTTTCCGAGCAACAACCTAACTGTGGCGATGGCACCTTATCGTTTCAACCCAACGGGAATTTGGAATCCCACAAAGGTTACGAGACAAACCAACCGTATACGGCTATGAAGTGTTACTGGCTGTTGCATGTACCCCCGGGGCACGGAATCATGGTCCAATCGGTTCAGTTTGATCTGGCGAATTCCACTCCGGGCTGCACAACTGATTCATTGGAGGCTTTTGAGGCGGATCAATATGCTAGACCAGGAAATGAAACCAAAGTTGATGACGAGTTCGTTATTCCGGTCGGATCTGGACCCCGATGCGGGAATCAGCTAGTTAGATTTGTCACTCCCCAAAATCGTTTGCTGTTAGTGTTTACTGCGAAAAGCTCTGGTCAACATATGGGTTTCCGTTTGCGATATGCAATGATTGAACGGGATCTGGTGGATGGTTTACTCGCCTCAAACATGGCAGCACTGGGCCAAGGTACAGCGAGTGACTGCGATCCATCTCATGAGTGGCTGTGCCCAAATCGAACAGAACAAACAAATGTGTGTGTCCTGAAACAATGGCGTTGTGACGGTTTCGATGATTGTCCCCAAGGAGATGATGAACAGGGCTGTCTGAAATCTCATGTTCTTTCTCGTCCACTACCGCGAACTGGAGCCCGATTACGCCGAAGTGCCATTAACGATGATCTGGACGATTGGGGTCGTGTGGTCAACGGGCAGCCAGCTTCTCAAGGTGCTTGGCCGTTTATTATTTCTCTCCGTCTGGCTGCGAATGGTGGCCATGTATGTGGAGGCAGCCTGATTAGCGCTCAGTGGGTATTGACAGCCGCACATTGTGTGCAGCCGATGCCCTATCCAGATCAGTGGTTTGTCGATCTGGGTAGATACTACAAAGACCAAGGTGGATCAGAAGTACAACGTGTTCGAGTTGCACAAGTCTACATACATCCCAATTATGATCCGGTTCGAATTGTGAATGATATCGCTCTCTTACAATTGGCCACTCCGGCCAATTTGGCCACCGGGTACGTTCGCTTGTCTCCAGTGGTTCGTAGTCCCAGTCTGGCTGCAGCTCTCACAGCAAATACACCTTGTCTAGTAGGAGGATGGGGCGATACACGCAATACCGGATCAAATGCTGTACTTCGACAAGCCAGTCTCCCTGTCATTGACTACAATCTGTGTCGATCTTGGTACAGCACTCTGACACCGGCCAGCTTTTGTGCAGGTTATCAACAAGGTGGTATTGACGCATGTCAAGGAGATAGTGGTGGACCGTTGCTGTGTAATGTGGGTGGGCAAACAATGCAAGCTGGTATTGTCAGTTGGGGTAGTGATTGTGCACGACCTCGTCAACCGGGTGTTTACACCAATGTGGCCGCGTTCGTCAACTGGTTTGCTGGAGTATTGTGATCACACGGAGTTGGAATCGTCTGTTTCTTTTGTGTAGGCGTGCATGCGTGTGATTGCCTGTAGTAGATTCTGACGCGTCTCACCTTGCGCTGATGATATCACCTTTTTCTTTGGTCCTAATCGTCTCCATCGAATTAAACGCATTTCTCTCCTACAAATTTGTATTCGTTGGTTTCTCCTCTGTTTCAATTCGATAGTGACATATGACAGAACAGAATCAAATCAAGACTAGATAAAGAAAAATGAAGAAAGTGAAAGCGATACGGTTTGCACCAAATGGCAATAGAAATAGAAATCCAGTACTGGAAAAGCCTGAACCTATAGAAAGGTCACTGAGATGGGTTTTCAGATTACTTGATTACTTATATTGTGAACGACACTTATTGCTGTCTATTGTTTTAGGTACGTATTCGGTATTTGGTGGATTTGAAGTGGAACATCAGATATACATATGACTCCTATAGTCCATGACTATCGGGGCTTAAAGTGAATACAACAATGTAAAAGTGGTGGAAATCGAGGGCTTTTTAATGAGGTTGACTAGATTATTCAAAATTAGCTCTATGCATTCATCAAAGCCTTGTTGCGACTAGGAGACCGATCTTATGCGAGCGCAGTAGCATTCCGAGTTACCCTGTTCTGCATTATTGTCTTAGTTTAGTACCATACGCGACGGTGCACCAATAAGAAGCTAATCTGAGCACAAAAATAATAGCATAGATAAATCAAGTAAGTTGAAGCCAAGCGATTGCGTTGTATACTGTAAGTGCTGAATACTCAGCTGCTGCGTAACCATTCTGGCAGGAATAAGTTATTGTCTGAACAATAAAATGATATTGTAAGCGGCACATGGTTGCAAGATAATGAAAGTGAAGCAGTTATTGATTCGTGTACAGTTTGTTGAATATGTAAGGAGTAACAAATTGTTGCCGGTGAGAATAGAGATATACTCAAGGATGATATGGGATAAGGTCAAACCTCTTTCAAAAGACGATAGATAAAAGGTGCTGCTATAATGCCCAGTGAACAGTGTTATCGATCAATGAAGTAGTTGGTCAATAACTCACTTAGTGATAATTTAGTTCCACCGTCAGTGTGAATGTGTGGTAGTTTGGGTCTGTTGACACTTTTAAAAGTGTACCAAAAACCAGGTTTGGGATGTCTCACTCTTTATGTCAAAAGCAGAGAAGAATAGAAACTAAGATCATATGTACGCCGATTGAACGGGAACGTCATTGAGCCAAATTAACAGGGTGATTCATGTCGACCTCTCAAAAGGTTGTGTTTGAATTCAGTCATTTAACAGAGGTGCACGATACTGAATAGGAGTAACAGGTCTCTTCCTGCCTCGTGGGTGTGATGAAAATGACCATGTACGGTTTCACAATGCTTCTCTTACTGAAATTCCAATTAAACCGTATGGTAAAATTAGTGATAAAGAAGTAGCGCATCCCTCAAGCGCAAAAGTTGATATGCACAGGAACTACAGGATCTGTTAGGTCCTGGATGGACCAGCTCGTGGTATAACTCTGTTGTACGAACTTGGTGGGTGATTACTTCGACTGGAAGAACCACAGAACACTGTGAATGGGCAGACTACTTGACAGCGTTGACCTCTAAAGTTGGGCGATTCGAGTTTATATTCGTGGTCACTGGTTCGATTGGGTAACTTCGACGTATCAAATCAATGGAATGAGCATTCCTACGGATAAGTGCGTGTAGCTCAAACTTAACAAAACCGTCGAGATCTGCTGAATAATCAATTAGTTCATCGTTTTCTGGATTATTGCACATTCACAAGAGATATATTTTTTCAATGTGTTCCACAAGGACTGCTCTGTCACACATGTATTTTTACTGAATGTAGAGTGATTTATTTATTGAACAATCTGTGAAATGTCAGATCATAAGTCACCTGTTACTGCAACTCACGATCCCAAACGTTCACCATTTTCTCCGGTCAATACGCAGTTTTGGTGCCATAGTGTGGAAAATCGACTGTGCTCGTTGATGGTTGACAAACACGACGGATAAATTCATGCCTTCATTGTACTCCTAGACAATCAGTAGTCAAACAGTTCGATGGTTCGTCCGAAATTTCCGTTTTTTATAATACTACGTCCAATAATCCGCTTCCGGATGCCCTGCTCATTTGTAAATACTGTGACAATCCGCCAACTGCTTCTTCAAGCACGCATTAATGTGAATAGTACAACACCAATATAGTAACAAATTCGTGTCTTGAAAGGTGCAATAGCAGGCACGGTTACCGATACCACCACAGCCCGTCGTCCAGAGGTTTACCAAGTTTCATGCGCTTTCTACTAATTTTGATTTCCCTCTACATCACATTTTTCATAATGTGGAACATTAGAAAGTTTCATCTGAGTCGTTTTCCTTACGCTAAGGTCATTATCTAGCGAAGTCTCACACTTTTTACACTGATAATAAAAAGTAGCCATCTTTACAATACCTGCACGGGGATGTGCTTCAAAGCTTTCTTGTCAGCTCTTCTTTGAACTTCACAAAAAGATCGGTAATTTTGATTTTTGCACTCCCACACTAGCAATTCTTTATTANATTAGGTTATAATGCATGTGAATCTTATGTCTAGGAAAATTGTGGAATGTTGTGGCCCTTTGTGGTTAATCTTACAGTTATGCTTAGTACTACATCGTATGCCAAAGGACATTCATATCTTGTCTCTCACTCACAAGCCCACAGTCATGGTGGTGTATTTTGTAGTTGTATTATTATTTAGTTGTCGAAGACATACTGTTGTTGTATGTTTAATCTGTACGTGATCAGTTACTGCTTTCTTTTCAATGACAACCCCGGTTTATGAAAAAAGAACAAAGTGGAAATGGGGTTCATACTGTTATCTTATTTATCCAGAGTTAAACTTGAAATCGCACTTCGTTTCCTCAAAATAACCCGTGCAAAAAGCTCACAGTTCCATTGATTTACTTGGTTACTGTCAGCACAAGCTACAACAAAGAAACGGCGGAT